ATCAATGTTAAAACCTAAGGATACATGGGAAGGGAGGGGGTGGAGTGGGGGGGAGGTGGGAATCTGCTGTTGCTCGATCAACCACCTCCACTGCGCTGTTCCCCAATTGGCAGAGCCACATCTTTAGGCCCGTACGAAAAGATAGGAGGGTTGGGCGCGAGATGTTCCAGAGGGCAGGAGTAACAGCGCAAAGAAGCCCCACCTCCTGGACCCCGCCAGCCGGAATAATCGGGCTGATGGGACCTGCAGCATGCCTCCTCTGCTGGCACGGATGGGACGGGCCAATCCCAGTGGGGTGAGATGGTCCCTCAAATAACCTGGACCCAGGCCATGAAAATAACTGATATCTATAATCTACCTCCACATTTATCCCCTGAAATTTAAAAACAGGCAGGTATGTGACTCTGGATCTATCCACTCTTCTACACCAATCAAAACAATGTGCATGTAGGCAATAATGAATTGCTAAAGCTTTTTAGGAAATGTTGCCTTTGCTTCATAAACACCCAAGCCTGTTCAGCTGGGCACTAAGTAGGGAAGCTGAAGAGGGCATCATTATCAAAGTCAAGGAATTGCACTTTGCACCAAATTGCAATATTTGCCATGCCTATACCAAGAGAGATATAGGCACAGCACCCTCTAAGAAATACACGAAAAATCACATTTAAAGGATCCAGACCAGCAAAAAGGCAAAGGCTGAAGTTAACAGCATGCACAAAGTTTACCTCACAGAGGGGGCCCAGAGTGCGCCAGACCTAAACAGAAAGAGGAAAGATGAGAGAAGAGAGAAATGGAAGGAGTGGGAAATAAGAGAGTTGGAGGGGAAAAAGCAAGGATACAGCTTAAGCAGGGTGCAGATTACCTCTCAGCATAGGGATCAAACAAATTGACCAAGGGAAAGAGCTAACATTTTGGGAATATTGCATCTGTTCAAAGTGCATTGCAAGGCAGAAATAATCCTAGCGTACCTCCAATTTTACTGAGATCATACTCAGTTTTTACTGAGGTCATGCTACAATTTTACTGAGGTCGTTTCTCAGTACCTGCTAGTTTAGTAGGTTACTTGGCCCAAATTAATATTTATAGCAGTTGTCTTACAGTGAATAATTAAGTCACAAAAGAAATTCTATCATCTATCTATCTATCTATCTATCTATCTATCTATCTATCTATCTATCTATCTATCTATCTATCTATCTATCTATCTATCTATCAATATCTTGGCAACCTTAAGACACATAGATTTGAACTTTTGGGACTTGAAATCCATGTATCTTAAAGTTACCAAAGTTGAGAAACATTGAAAAATGATAGAAAAAAACCCCATAATGGTATAAAAGGTAGTATTTCAAAACAGTCTTCTCATTTTACTAACATTCAAATGGCTTCCAACATTCTCTTGCCTGATGTTCTCTGGAAGGTATCAAACACTGATTTCTTTGCACTGTGCAAATTTCAGTCCAACTTAAGTCCAGTCATATGTTTTAACTAGTTGCTCTGTTGCTCCCCTAACCCTTACACCAATGTCATTTCCTCACCAACTCATGCTGCTCTTGCATCTGGGCAATTTTCTTTGTATATTTCTGATCCACAAGCTTCATTTCAGATACCACAGCTTCACATTTCTGATTCAGAGCTCTTTTGTCATCGATGAGCTGTAGAGATAGGTGCAAGAGAGTATTACTAACAGCATACTCTATCCATTGTTTGTACTAATGCAGGCATGTCAAACTCGCGACGCCAAGTGACGTCGCGCGACGTATCGGAGCTTTTTCGCCATTGCCGGCAATGGGGTGGACGCGGCTCCGGTATGATGTGGGCCGGCAGTTTGACACCCCTGTACTAATGTGATGCATTAGCGAGCTAGCAGAAAGTACCTGGAATCAAGCTGCCATCTTATTCAGGTAGAAATGGATACAAAACTCCCCCCCATCGCAAGGGAGTATTTCAACTTAGAATGCTAACTGCTAGCTGATGCCCACGGAAATTTCTGAAGAGGCATGCCAGCAATACAAGTTACGTTAAATAGAGGCTGCGAGATAGGGAAACAGAGTATATTGATATTCCCAGGTTCTATATGGAAAGGAAAGGAGGAAAAAAAGGAAAGGAAAAGATTACCTGGTCAATAAAGGCCAGGTGCCGTTGGATTGCACCTTCATACTGCTCCCTCTGCACAGTCAGTTGGTGATTCAGCTCTTTCTGTACATCTTTAACATGCTGCCCGGTTAACTCCTGCTGTTGAGCCTGCTAGGACAAAGGGCAAAACCAGGCCAATTAAGGAAACCTAAAAGTTACGCTATCTGGTCAGTCAAAAAGCAAAAGAAAAAAAAGTGGAAAAGAAAGGATATGTTAAATATAGCCATTGGGATTCCTAAGCAGATCGTTTCTTGATATGGATTGTTCATCAGCAACAACACTGCCGAAGCCTGAAAAAGGCAGATAAAGACAAGACACTCCCTCTTTGACAGTTCATGCCTCCTTCCACTCAACAGAGCTAAAGATTGGGTTGTGTAACACAGACAGACACCCTTCCTGTGGAATCAAGTTCTGGTCACCCACCAGTGCTTTTTGTAGAAAAGCAACAGCTTTCTTCTTTTCTTCTACTTCCAGCTTCAGCTTCTGGATAGAGCTGGTGACCTCTGTGGCAACGGCTGAGACCTGATCCAAGTGGGCGAGCTCTTCTTCTGGCAATAATCCCTAGCAGGTATGATAAGCAGCAAAGGAATAGTCAGGCTGAGGGACAACCCTAGTTTCCTATCACCAAATCTCCTTTAAGGATGGAAATTAAAGATTCCTTATCTGCAATAATACGCTAATACTGGAAAACTTTGCTCATCATAACAAACGCCATCATAAAATTGCCATTTTACGTGTGGCAGACTAGGTTCTTCATTTCCTGAGGCAGATCCAACTATCTGAAGCTTCTCAACTCTCAGATTATTGGAAGCCATAACGCCAATACCAACTTAACAGCTTTTAATTTCAAATATTTTTTCGTTTCAATCAGTGAAAGCAAAATGCTCTTTGTTTGAAACAGCCATCTGCCCTGACACACACACACACACACCCCAGCCCACCCCATCAATAAAATTTAAATGTGCCATATTCACCTCTTGCTGTGAAGCTGAGGCAACAGATCTGGGTCGTTCCTGCTCAGATTTTTCCATCTCATCCAAAAAACTCATTATATTCTGAAGTTTTGTTTCTGACAATAATGTTCCTTCTTCAGGGGCTCCCAGCGAGCAGTTCAATTTTCCAAACCTCTCTAGGTTGTCAGTGGTTAGAGAATTTGAGTCCAAGTCCTGTATTGCAGGGAAAAATTCTTGGGATCAACAGCTATAGACTACTGTGGCAGTACCAAACAGAATGATTTCAATCTGTGACTGCTGGGAAAAAGGAGAATTGTTGTGTGATTCCATTGATTAAAAAATATTTCTCAAGAAAGGGGGAATGGAGCTTCTCAAAAAAGCAGAGATGCTTTCTCCAGTTTTCTCTTGGGAGATTAACTGTAAATATTTGGAAAACAATTACAAATGTCCTTGAGTTTGTCAAAAATATTCCAGCTCACAACTCCCAAAAGTTTGCTCTAAGCAGAGTAGGTAACATAAAGCAAGAAGCATCAGTTGGGTACGTGCTCCTCATTTCTTCCCTAAACCACTTTCACACCAGCCCAAACAAATTCTGTACAATTTCATCCAAAGGATCTACAGAGAAAAGACAGCGCAATATTTATATTTCAATTACCCCATCTATCCAGGCATATTTGTAATCCTTGAAAAAATTGGGCTGATACTGTGGCGGTGGCAGAAATTCTGGATCCGCTTCCAAAAGCTTTAGGGTGTCTAGTAGGTCATGAAAGGTTATTTTGGAATGCATCCTACTGGCTGTGCTCATCACACCATCCAAATCTTCACTGGGCATTTTTCCAGAGCTCCCATCCTGGGAAACAGAGAAAATCCATGCGCATGAAATATTGTGAAGAACTCCAAATAAACATTATCAGTATATTTCACTGACATAGGGAGGGCTCATCCATCTCATTTGCAAAATCTTATACTTCCCAGCCAATCAAAACATTTAAAAGTGCAGAAATTGGGAACTATACAAATCATGAGGGAAAAGTAAAAGAAAGTATTTAGGCTTCCAGGAACATCAGAAGAAGGCAACACCTGTGGCTGTTCTTCAAGTCCTTTGTTTTGTGCTGAGCGACAAAGGGATGCCATGGCGGAAGCTTCGTCTAGATCTATTCCTGCAAAGTGGAAGTTGGCACCTGCAGTAGCAACAAAAAGCATTTGCTTCAGTAAGAATAAGAATTCAGAATTCATCTTTTTGTTAAATGAGAACAACTATGTTTTCCATTTCGAGAATTGGAGTATAAGACTTTAAGATGTCAAGCCCAAGTTTGTTTTTGAAATAATTTTTCTTGGTTTGCCAAGCAATTCTAAAGTGTAGCGAATCAGCTTTTCACTATGAGTCTACGAGGATACATCAGTTGCCCATATTTTTCCATTATCATTATTTGCCTGTGTGCAAGTTAAATGTTTCTGAACTTACTCCTTATTTTCAGCATGCTATTTGTTGCTCCTCGCTGCCATGCAAGACCAAATAATACCACGGCGCTATAGAAATGTTTTGTATTTAAAACAGATTCAGAGTGCATACTGAATTTAGAGAAATGCAGTTTAGGAGATCCCCCTCCCCACACCAAATGTCCCAAGACCTTCCATTATTTCTCACCTGCATTGTTGGCTTTGATGATGCTGTTAGCAGGACTGCTGTTTTTTAAAGAGCTGGCTTTCTCACTTTTCCTTCTTCTGGCTTTCTTGCTTTCTTTAAGTAGTGCCATCTCCTCCTCCACCAAACGCTGTGTCTCTAAAGCTTTTTGGGTTCGTTTTTGTTGCAGCTCCTAAAACAAAACACTAACTCGCATTTCTGTTCTGTGTTAGGGCCCACTTCCTCCTCCTGCACCAGTAAACGTACTCGGTCTAACTTTTAACCCAATAAATCAATCAAGACTATCCTCTGGCTTCTACTTGCGCAGGGGCCATGCTAATCTTCTCTATATCCTTCCAATTTTAGGATATGTGCTGCCAAAGCGAGCACAAGACGATCCTCCTGTCTTCTAATGCCCAGGACTAGCAATACCAATCAGCAAATGGCTACCTGGATGGCTGCTCTTCTGGCAAGGCGAGCTTTCTCCTCTCGTATTTTTTTCCTCTCATCATCTCTTCTCTGCTGCAAATCCAAGATGTTGCCCTCATCTGCGAGTTGCTGCTGCTGCTGCTTTTCCTTAAAAACATACAGCACAGGTATTATAAAACTACACGATCACGATTCCTATCTCTAGGACAGTGTTTCTCAACCTTGACCATTTTAAGGCATGTGGACTTCAACGCCCAGAATTCCACAGCCAGCATTGCTGGCTGTGGAATTCTGGGAGTTGGAGTCCACATGCCTTAAAATGGTCAAGGTTGAGAAACACTGCTCTAGGACAAAAAAAAAAAGCCAACTAACTTCCCTAAAATCTAACTAGAACCATACCTCATACATTTAAAGCTTATGCAAAACCATTCATTCAAAACAAAACATTCTTTCAGCATGTTCAGAAGTTTTTTTATACAATATACACATACAACAAACCTCTCTCTTGGAAGCCAACAATCGCTCAAGCTGAGCTACGCCTTCCTTGTGCCTCTGAGAATGCCGCCGGTACCAGCGCTGGATTGTCACAGCAGCCGAATTGACTTGGTTAACAAATCTAAAACAGGGGAAAAAAATTCATGCAAGTTGACTATTGCTTTCCAACTGCCATGTCAAGCGAAACAGTTCCTGATGTTAAGAAAGGCACAGAAAAACATCCTTGAAAAAACAGATCTTGACCACAGGGCTTCTATATTCAAATAAACGCTCCTCCCTCCGGTTTATAGAAATCCAGAAGCAGTGTTCAAAAATACACAGTTCTAGGAAGGTGTGAAAATATACCATTTAATAACTGCAAGTAACATTCTATAAAATAGTACACAGCCACCCAACACCTCATTTGTATCCTGAGATTGGGCTGCGAATATTGATGGCAAAATGGCCCAATGTTGACAATGCATTTTCAGCCCATTTTTCAGGGTTTGGAATAGTTTTAATGGTGGAATAGATGCAGTTTTCCTCTGTGAGGCCTCTCACATCGATTGTCACTTCACTCCCTTCTAAAGATAAGAAAATGGCCACAAAAGGCCTATCTGGTTGGGATTTAGAAGAAGAACATTGTGGCTTCAAAATCTAAGGGATTGATTTGGACAAAACTCAGCAACACTTTTTCGTGCGGTTGCTGATAAAAACAGGATCGCCAACGTCCGATAATGGATATGGCACAAGAAGAAGAAGAAAAGCCAAATGTAGTGGTTTGCCTTTGGAAGACCTCCTACTCCTCTCCCCACTCTTAATGTTCCCCCCCCCACACACACACACACAAAAGGCCAAAACATTTCAGACGGCCTTTTCCAGTGAATTCACAGTATAACTGAATGGCTTCTGTCATCCTTCAGAACAGTGAGAGGCTGAGTTGGAACTATTACTGCCCAAAATTTACCCAGTTGCTAAAAAAACAACAAGCTATTAACTGGAAATTGCCAAATCAGATATGGCAATTATCTAGTAACCCAGTTATATGCCCTCATTTCACTTCCTCTGATTTTTCTGCATAATTTGTTACTTCTTCCTGTCAGTTTTCTCAGATTTACCGCTCAGCCTCCTCCTCAGAAACTTCCTGTATCCTAGTCGGGGGATTGCTACTACTGGTGTTATTATTCCAAGCCAGGATGTTGCTGCTGGAAAAGTTCTTCTGAGATTTCATGTAACTGCCGCCGTCTGTGTCTTCATTAGAAGTAGCTTTGATGATGTTGCTAAGGAAAGAAACAATAATACACTGCTCAATAGGATCCTATGAAATGCTGCAAGTCTCTTCAATTTAGGATATACTAAAAAATGTTTCCCATTTTTCATACTAGCTTGTACTATGATTTCTCAGGGATTGCTATCCTTGAGAATTACTTCTGTATACAACATATACTCTAGCACAGTGTTTCTCAACCTTGACAACTTTACGATGTGTGGACTTTAACTCCTAGAATTCTCCAGCTAGCATTGCTAGCTGGAGAATTTTGGGAGTTGAAGTCCACACATCTGTAAAGTTGCCAAGGTTGAGAAACACTGCTCTAGCAGCTGCTGGACAATCTCTTATTTGCTCACATTTAGTCCAGTGACTGCTGATGTGAAACACTGTATTAACATGAAAAAAGAATTAAAAGTACAACTTTGTTATTAGACTAAGCATGAGAGTTCAGGAGTACTTTGTGTAGTCTATTTATGCTTCTCTTCTTGAAAACAACCCTTCTCTCTGATCTCCAGCATCTCACTCATGCATGAAATGTTGACCAAACTGCTCCTAACTCATCACTGAAGGAAAGCTGCGACAGGAATATACAAGACTTACTTGAGCGAAGTTGTAGCTTGATTGGAACTCTTTGGCACAGATGTTTTGTCTGTAGTCGAGTAATTGTTATGCACCATAGTGGTGACACAGTTGCCCATGGCGCCTTTGTTACTCCTCATAAAATAGAAGGAAAATATGTCAGCACGCTTCCAGAATAATTTCTCCAATATATTATCAAAATAGATCAAGACTTCTGGAGCCTTGCCACTTAATAACTGTCTCATATTCAATAGGTAGCCAGATTTTTGGAATCAGCTGCGTTCCGATACTGTCCTAGATGCTGACCTAGAGGTGTGTCTCTCAAATAATGAAAGTTCTCGAACTTCAGCATTCACAACTATGCCAATAATATACCTTTTTAGGTTCTAGGAGTATTTGTTTTTCAGGACTTGGTAGTGTTACGTGTGTTCCCAGGTTGAATTTATGGTCATTCATACACACACAGCTCTGGAAAAACACTCAAAATCACTTTCAACCGAACACTTGGTTAAATATATAACTATATCTATATCTGCTCTTTCTCACATATAACACACCCACCCACAATCCATACTTACCCACGTTCTGGCTAGAGGGAAAACTCCAAGAATGGGGGAGCTTAAGGACCCTGTTTATCCCTCAAAGTCCTTGCTTGCTTTGTGGATCCACAAGACTGGCAGCTATTCTCTTGTTAATTTACAAATCTAAGTAGCTGGTGATGAAATTTGGGGAGGGGTTTCTCATGTGCTCAGGCCAAACTTCTTTTGTCTGGCTCATGTGACATTTTTCCTTTTGTCTCCTTAACGACTTAGTTCCTCCTTATCTACTTCCCCCAAGGGATCTTTTAAACAAGATTTCTGCCTTTTGTCCAACCTGCTTCTGTGCCTACGTGCCTGCTTCATCTTTAGATATGGCAGTTTCAGCCTAGTCTCAAAGTATCATCCATAGTTTAACAAAGAGAAGGACATGAAAGCAGTGTTCCAATATCTCAGGGGCTGCCACAAAGAAGAGGGAGTCAAGCTATTCTCCAAGGCGCCTGAAGGCAGGACAAGAAGCAACTGATCAAGGAGAGAAGCAACCTAGAACTAAGGAGAAACTTCCTGACAGTTAGAACAATTAACCAGTGGAACAACCTGCCTCCAGAAGCGGTGAATGCTCCAACACTGGATGTTTTTAAGAAGAAACTGGACAGCCATTTGTCCGAAATGGTATAGGGGTTCCTGCCTGAGCAGGGGGTTGGACTAGATGACCTCCAAGGTCCCTTCCAACTTTATTATTATTATTATTATTATTATTAATTAATTATTATTATTATTATTATTTTCAACTATTAAATCAAGAGTGGTACCATCAAAGCTATGGGAATTTTTCTGCAACTTAATGACAGCATTTTAGTTGAATGTTCAGACATTAAGTTCTACTACCTACACATATTTCTTACCTGTTATTGGCAGTGAAATTGGCTGCAAGGGGTACACAGATTTCTTTCTTCCTCATGCTTCCAGGAGTGCTGGATGAGGCAGGAAATATCCTGGGCTGCTCATCCTGACCAAATAATCAAAAGTAAGTATACATGAAAGTAACAATACACAGACCTTCACTACGTACATTTTAGCAAAAACTCTTAATTCCTCCTCAGGCAAAAAATTACTCAATCTCACCACAGTTTTTACTATAAACCAGTAAAATAAATGTAGCAGATTTCAGAGCTTTGGAGATAGATGCTGGGATTTTTATCCAGTTAAGAGTGCTTCAAAATGAACAGATTGGTGCTGAGTGTGGAAGTTTCTGGACAGAGTCATGAGTATGCCTAAATCAGAGCAGAGTCAAAGGAACTTCAAAAGCAGAGATAGAAATCAAAAGCACCCATACCATAGCCCCTATATATAGCTTTGGAGGAATTGCTGTGCTGATGACAGCTAAACCAGATACAAAGAAAGCAGAGTAAGATGCTGAAAATGTAAAAACAGTTTAAATTTTTCTCGTCAACAGAAAAGCTTTGGTAAAAGCCTCTTCAACTGTGGTATAATAAAATCTTTTCTGGATTTTCCAGCCCAGGTTTGACTCTTCCTGCTCCACCAGCACTTAGTTCCATAAAGCCTATGAAAAAGTGATGGCAGAAGTCTTTTTTGTAGAGTGCAGCTTTCCCACCGCTTAATTTTTTTATTTTTTTTATGGAGAGAAGTCTATTCTTGCCAGGAGGGAAGTGCGAAACTTACTCCACAGCTGTTATGTGATAGTCACTTAGGCATATTGTATACATTGCTCATTACTGTGGCATGTGTGATAACTACATTATAGGGGCACCTTGCATTTTCCCAACAGTCGAATAGCAATGTTAGTGTCCTAAGGGAAATATAATTTTAACACAGCAGATGAGCTAAGAATTTGGGATTGTTATTTTTTATTTTTTTTTGCAATAATAGATTTTTGACATGATAAATCTAGAAAAATCCTGAAAGTAATGATAGAGGAATTATCAGGCTTAACAACATAAAGCTAAGTCTTGGGACTGGTTTCGGAAGTTTTTCTCATGAATGCGCATGCGCTCTAGCCCTTACTAGGACGTTCCACGTAGTTTTCTTTTCTGGGGAATCTTTGCTTAGACTTGCTAGTTTTTTTCTTCCAGTTGAGCTGC